CTCCCACCATGCCCGTCTTCCACAGGTACGTTAACGCCCTCCCACCATGCCCGTCTTCCACAGGTACGTTAACGCCCTCCCACCATGCCCGTCTTCCACAGGTACGTTAACGCCCCCCCACCATGCCCGTCTTCCACAGGTACGTTAACGCCCTCCCACCATGCCCGTCTTCCACAGGTACGTTAACGCCCTCCCACCGTGCCCGTCTTCCACAGATACGTTAACGGGCCGCCCCCAGCCATGCCCGTCTTCCAAAAGTACGTTAACATAGTTTATTTTTATAACTTATGACAGTCATTATTAAAGTTTAAATTTATAACTTATGACAGTCCTGTTCAGTTATTAAATATTTAGGCTTCTTTTTGCATTCATTTGGAAGAGTTACCCGACCTAATCAGAAAACGGTTTAGAAAATACAGAGAAAAGAAAAGTTTTTTTGTGGGTAACTCTAGAGAAAATGTTTGTGGTCGAGTGAAGCTTGAATTCTTTTTCTTCAATAAAAATATAGTCAAAGACCAGAGAATTAATTTTAGTAACTATTTTCTCGATCGTTTTTTGAGTTGAAGTTTTCAATATATTTACGCCATGTCTGATATCATTAATGATCAAGTTATTAGAGATAATAGATTTAATTTTGATAGAAATAATTAAACGAAATAGGTCAATTGGAGACCACGCAATTTTGTGTGGCAGAACAGAATTATTTTATTTAATTGTTCATGTACACAGATTTGTAGTATTTAATTGTTTATGTACAATTGTATAAGATCTAGTCGTATACGTACAACTTTATTTACACACGTGCGGTCAATGCCCAAAGAATTAATTAATTAAAATTATCAGAGTCTCCCAAGTCATGAGATGACGTTAGTAATTTATTAACCACGTTTCGAATTTATGTTGTATAACTTGAGAGATCTGATTGTCTACGTATCTAGATATATTTATACAGAGTGATTGATTAAATGTATTATGCCTCGATATATATCCCTGTCCCCCACAATAACCCCACCTGTCCCCCACTACCCTCACTCCTTAGTATCCTTAGTATTTGTTTGGGACATAGCAGTCCCAGGCCACGATGGATCGCCGCCT